GCTTTTTTTCTTTCTCCTTTTCCCCCCTCAGTCTGCCCTCCGTTCTATCAGCCCCTCCCTTTTCTTCCCCTTTACCTTACTGCTTCTTCCCTCCCTTCTGTCCACCCTGTCCCTTTTCTTTCTCTTTTCTTCTCCTTCCTGTAAGGTATGTTAGATTTCTATACCTAACTGATTATGTTACTCCCTCTTTGAGCCTAATCTGATGAGTCTAAGGTTCAAACAATGGTCATCTCCCTCTCTTCTTTCCCTCTACTGTAATAGGTTTTTGTGCCTCTTCATGTGATGTAATTTACCCTTGTCTGCCTCCTCCTTTCCTTTCCTCCCTTAACAATCCTTTTTCACTACTTAATTAGATTTTTTATCATCACACCAAAGTCAGTTTTTTCCCATGCCCTCTCCTCTCCCTTCCTGTCCTTTTCCCTTACCTGAGGATAAGAACCTGAGAGTGTTCTAGCCTACATAACTTGGGGTTTATTGGCTAGATTGCTCTCTCAAAGACCAAGCCTTAAACCCAATTCACTCTGGAGCTCATAGATTGGACTATAGTAGGTCCCTGCCCAAGCACCACTTTATTTTTTGAGCCCTCTTGGCTCAGAGTGAATGTAAGTAGTAACTTTCTATTTCAGCACCCCGAGGGTCTTCCCTCCCAGTTTGATTTTTTCTTTTTTGGACATCCCTTGACTCACTTATTTTTTTGGGTTTGGTTTTTTTTGTTTTGGCTTTTTGGTGAGGCAGTTGGGGTTAAGTGAGTTGCCCAAGGTCACACAGAGCTAATAAGTGTCAGGTGTCTGAGACCAGATTTGAACTCATGTCCCCCTGACTCCAAGGCCTGAGAGCTATCCACTGTCACCTAGCTGCCTCGCTTGAACACAACTTCTTAAAGAGGCCTATTCAATGAATGGGTGTTGCCTCACTCAAAGTGAGAACCTGAAAAGACCTTAGCTTAAAATTCCAGGATCTCCCCTTGCATCCTGAGGTATCTCCAGTCGTCCTAATGAATATCTGGCCACTGGACCCAGATGATTCTGGAGGAGAAAGTGAGGCTAGTGACCTTGCACAACCCTCCCTCATTCAAAACAAAGTCAATTGCAAGTCATGTCATCATCTCCCTGATGTCATGTCCATGAAGGACAAACAACCACAACCCCTTTTAAATGTCATAATAACGATACAGTTCTCAAGAATTACAGGTGTTATCTTTCTTTGTAGGGATGTAAACAGTTTGCCCTGATTAATAACATATTGTTTTGTTTTCTTTCCTGTTTACCTTTTTATGCCTCTCTTGAGTCTTGTATTTAAAGATCAAATTTTCTGTTGAGCTCTGGTCTTTTCATCAGGAAGGTTTAGAAGTCCCCCATTTCGTTGAATGTCCATCTCCGCCCCTGAAATATTACACTCAGTTTCGCTGGGTAGTTGATCTTTGGTTGTACTCCAAACTCCTTTGCCTTATGGAATATCATATTCCATGCCCTCCAGTTTTTTAATGTAGAAGCTGCAAGGTCCTGCCTTATCTGACTGTGGTTCCATGATATTTAAAATTGTTTCTTTCTGGCTGCTTGAAGTATTTTCTCTTTGACTTGGTAATTTTGTAATTTGGCTGCAATATTCCTTGGTGTTTTCAATTTGGGATCTCTTTCAGGAGGTGCTTGGTGGATTCTTTTTGATGACTTGTTTTATCCTTCGGTACTAGGACCTCAGGGCAGTTTTTCTTGATGATTTCCTGAAAGATGCTGTCCAAGCTCTTTTTTTCATCATGGTTTTCAGGTAGACCAATAATTTTTAAATTGTCTCTCTCCTGGATCTGTTTTCCAGGTTTTTTGTTTTACCATTGAGGTACTTAATTTTTTTCTGTTTTTTCATTCTTTTGTTTCTATTTGACTGATTCTTGATATCTCAGAGTCATTAGTTTCCACTTGCCCAGTTCCAATTTTTAGTTAATTGTTTCTATCTGTTGGATTTTGTAGCTCCTTTTGCATTTGGCCCATTTTACTTTTTAAGGAGTTCTTCTCTTCAGTGAATTTTTGTGCCTCTTTTTCCATTTGGCCAGTTCTACTTTTTAAGAGTTGATTTCTTCAGTGTCTTTTTTTTTTCCATTTGGCCAATTGTATTTTTAAGTACTTGTTTTCTTCAATGTATGTTTTACCATTTGGCCAATTATTATTTTTTGTTTTGGTAAGGCAGTTGGGGTTAAGTGACTTGCCCAGGGTGACATAGCTAGTAAGTGTCAGGTGTTTGGTCTGAGACTGGATTTGAACTCAGGTCCTCCTGATTCCAGTGCTGGTGTTTTATCCACTGCACCACCTAGCTGCCGCAGCCAATTGTATTTTTTAAGGACTTGTTTTCTACAGTTAATTGTTGTCCTTTCTTTTCCAAGCTATTGACTCTGGTGATGAGCTGGGGTCATCAGCACTGGAGCTCTCAGGGTGGGGGTGGAGAGTCTGGAGGATGCCTGCTCACCCAGCTTCTTTAAAGCACTTGAATGTTTGGCTGCCAGAGCATGTCTGCCAGCCTGGAGTTGTGCTGAAGCCCCGAGACATTTGACTGCTGGAGAATACCAGTACACTTGGTGGTTTTTTGAGGTGGTGTTTACCAGTTCCCCTACCTGTGTTGAGACACTTGAGGAGTCCTGGTGTTGGTGCTTGCCTGCTCTACCACTACACATAATTTCTTACAGCACAGTAGTATTCTTTTATATTTATGTACCACATTTTATGTAGCTATTCCATATTTGATGGGCATCTACTCTGTTTGTAATTCTTTGCTATCAAAAAAAAGTGCTGCTGTCAATATTTTGGTATACATGGGTACTTTTCTTTTTATCAGTGGTTTCCTTGTTATATAAACCTGGTAATGGACTCCCTAGTTCAAAGGGTATGGGCATTTTAGTTACTTTATTTGTGTAATTCCAAATTGATTTCCAAAATAGTTGTACCGTTTCACAGCTCTACCAACAATGTCTTAGTGTGCCAGGCTTTTCACAACCCCTTCAACACTAAATATTGCCGTTTTGCCAGTTTGTAGGGTGTAAGGATTAAACGTCAGGATAATTTTGATTTGCATTTCTTTATTACTAGTGATTGGAGCATTCTTTCATGTGGTTGTGAATACTTTGCATTTCATCTTTTGAGAACTATTTGTTCATATCTTTTGCTTACTTAATCTGTTGAGGAATGGCTATTTCTCTTATATGTGCTTATTTGTTTGTATATCTTGGATACCAAACCTTATCAGAGAAATTTGATACAAATATTTTTTTTCCCATTCAACCGCTTTTCTTCTTATCCTAGTTATGTTAATTTTGTTTGTGTAGAAGCTTTTCATTTCAAGTCATCAAAGTTAGCTATTTTGTCTTTTGTAATTATCCCTATCTCTGCCTTTACCCCTGTTGTATCTGTCTCTTAGAATCCTACCTCATTTCCTTTAAGAATTAGTTCAAGTATTACCTTCTACTTGGAACCTTTCTTTTCCTGTTCATATTTCCTCATGCTAGTGTTCTCTCTCCTTAACTATGCTATATTTATTCTCTATACTTAGGTATGTACATATTATTTCTCTGATAGAATGTAAGGTCCTTGAGAGTGAGAATTGTTTCATTTTTTCTTGTCTTCATATACCTAGAACCTGACACATAGTAGCTATTTAATAAATGCTTGTTTGTTGCCTGATTGATTAAATATGAACATATTTAAATTAGAAGAAAAGAAGAAAAATTGAGGCAGCCCAATGTGTTGTGAAAAACGTGGACCTTGGAGTCAGGAGAGTAAGATTTGGGTCATTCTTTAAATACTTAATAACTATGGGTTGATGGATAAGCCACTTAACAATGACAACAGTAATAAAAATAACTAACATTTATGTCATCCTTTAAGTTTTGCAAAATCCAGAACAACGCTATGAGGTAGGTCATAGAAGTATAATTATCTTTGTATTACATCTAAGCAAACTGAAGCTAAGAGAAGTTGAATTGTACATGATCATACTTCTTTAAGCTTAAGTTTCCTGTTCTGTAAAATAAAGATAATAATGCCTTTGTTGGAGTTGTGGTGAAGAAAAGGGTCCAAGTATTACTTGAGGTGTCAGCTATTATTATTAGTATGTTACAATGGGCTGTATTGCTTCATGAAACAGTATGAAGTGGTAAAGGGCAAAACAAGTTTACAGAAAGCTTGTTGAAAGAACCTACTTTAACCATATCATCCCATGAACATTTAAAGATGAAACTGGGATATGAAACAGATACGAAGTAGAAAAAATTTGACAAGACTTTTATAATGAACTATTTTTTTCCATCATTGATAGTGGAGCCATCTCATTTGATGCTATTTTAAGACAATCTTTTGTGTGGTTCAGGAGGAAATAGAGATGGTAGTAAGGAAGCCAAAGATGGGAAAGCAGCTGGATCCAACCACATATAGACAGAGGAGGCCTATGATACAGGCTATACAATTCTGAGGGAATTAAGGATTGATTCTCAAGATTTCTGAAAGAAGGGAAGGTATCAAACGTTTGGGAAAAAATAATAGATTCCTTATTACTATGAGAAGGAAAAAAATCTTAATAACTACTTATTATGTCTAACTTTGCATCTTTACAAACTAATATAAAGATAACCTTCACACGTTTGGGCAGCCTTGATAAAGATTTGAGTGTTGAATGGGCAGACTTGTCAAACAGAACACAACCTTATAGGTACACAGTTGATTGAAAGGTGTAGAGATGTAAGATCTTCTCACACCTGGATTCTTACATCCTGGATTTTAATTATTGTGTTTATTATTTACAGAACTTAATATTTACTGAATACAAAAAAGCATTTGATTTTTTTAGAGCAAAAAATGCTTTAAAAGTTCTCTCTTTTAACAAGGCATTTGTCAGGCCTAGCATATTAAAAATTTTAAAAAAGTTGAATTTCTAATTCTAATCTAATGAAAATAATGTAGGACAATTGTAGTTTAATTTAAAAATCTAATATAATATCATTTTCTTTATATTTTTGATAGAAATGAAGATCTAAAGCAAATGCTGGAAAGCAACAAAGACTCTGCCAAACTGGATGCTATGAAACGAATAGTTGGGGTAGGTGCAATCGTGGATAATAGTTTTGGTAAATACGTGGATAGTGATTTCACTAAATGTATTGTCGTTTGAATCTTCAGATGTTTAAGTGTTCCTTATCTATGCTTTTTAAGGTGTAGCAGTATAGTTATAATAGCCAAAAAAGGATCAGCTTTAGAGTTGGGAAGATCTTTGTTCAAGTGTTGTCTCTGATACCTAGTATTAAGCAAGTAACTTCAACCTCTTAGTGGTCCAGGCAGGCAGCTCTTTATTATTTTATGTCTCTGAGGGTTTGCTGATCTGCACAGGAAGTTTCCTGTACAAATGAAATCATGCCTGTTCCCTCCTGAAAAAGAAAGACTTCAAACTCTTATTTTCTTACTGTTTGTTGTTTAATTTTAAAAAATGTGTCATTTTGGGGCAGCTAGGTGGTGCGTTGGATAGAGCCCTGGCCCTGGAGTCACAAGGACCTGCGTCCAAATCTGGTCTCAGACCAGACACTTGACACTTACTAGCTGTGTGACCCTGGGCAAGTCACTTAACCCCAATTGCCTAAAAATAAAAAAAAAATTTAAAAAAATGTGGCATTTTGCTATTTGGAAGTGTTCTTTTAGGATATCTTACATTTGTGGTTTCAAACTCAAATAGAAACTGATTTCTGCTGCCACATATTGACTTAGAAAACTACAAATTAATATTATCTGTGTAGTATTGTATCTTTATTTATTTTATTAAACATTTCCTAATTGCATTTTAATCTGTTTCTGCCTACAGTATCTCAGGTTTGATACCTCTGTTTTACATGTTTATTTTTCACATCAGTGTGACTTCTTGTACTTCAGCTGGGTCAGTCATTCTGGAATTTAAAAAAATTCTATCAGTATCCCTTACTTTTATCATTTTATATTTTGCTTGATTTTAATTTTCTTCTGTTTCCATCCCATCCTCTTCTCTTCTTTCTGTCTCATTCTCTCCCTCCCTCTACAAGCTGTTAGGTTTGATATGGGAACAAAATAAGATACTAGACATTGAATAGTCACCAAGAGATTTACTTTGCCATAGTCTAGAAAGGATATTCAACTAGTATCCTGCAGTGCTTTACTTGGGATAAGCATGGTGTCTCTCTCCTCCAGATGGAAGTAGGTCTGGTCATCAGGGCACAGTGTGTTGGCTTGGGGTGTCATTTAACCTTATGGTGGTTTTTTTTTTGTCACTTATTTTGACAAAGGTGTCCTTTTTCCTTGGTGTTAATATTTCACATCTACTACGAAGGAAAACATTTTTATGTGATTTTATAGTCAGAAATTCTTAGTTATTAGTATTATTAGTAAGTATATTAGTAACAATATTAGTAACAATATTAACCTCAATGTTGTCATGCAAGTTGTGGGCTAGATAAGGAGTTGGTACAAGACAGTGTCCTTGCCTTGAGGGTCATGTCAATTTGAAATGTAGATGTGCTTTTTAGAGTTTGTATGTTGATTAGTGACATGCCTGGTTGATAGATTATACTGTATAGAATTAGTTTGTTGCAAGTTATTTAAGTCCCTCTAAGAATTTTAAATTAAATCTTAGTAGAATATTAAGTTTTTAAATATAATTTGGAAAAACATTATGTTAATGCAACTCTAAAGAACTTTAGAAAATGTTGTTAATTATTTATTTTAACCAGTTTAACTCCAAACTTGCCCCCTTGCCTCTTATCACTTTACCTTTCCAATTTTTTTTTATACAGCTTACTCAAATTTTCCTGATTTCCACATCTGGAGATATCACATCCATACTTAAACTCCTTTAGTGGCTTTATGTTGTTTATAAGATAAAATAGAAATTCCTTGTCTTGGCATTTAAGACCCAGGTTATGTTTTCATCTTCATTTTTCACTTTATTCCATTCACTCTAAAGTTCCAGTCATGCTACTTTACTAACCACTTACTAATCTCACTCATTCTGCCCTCTTCCATCTCTATAGATGTACTGTTAAATAAAATCAATGTTATTTTTTACTGGGTCATTATAAATATTAATGGCTCTAGTAATGTGTGTGTAATAGGTATCTAAACTATTGCGTGTATAACCTCTTTAGAGTTTCTACAGAGATAAATTTTTTTTAAAGTTTTTTTTTTTTGGCTAGGCAGTGGGGTTAAGTGACTTGCCCAGGGTCACACAACTAGTAAGTGTTATGTGTCTGAGGCTGGATTTGAAGTCAGGTCCTCCTGAATCCAGGGCCAGTGCTCTATCCACTGTGCCACCTAGCTGCCCCTACAGAGATAAATTTTAAAGCTGATATTTCAACATTTATGATAATTAATACATTTAAGTATTAAAAATAGTGGGTATTTCTTTTTTTAGATGTTCTATTTTTATCATATTGCCCTTATAAGTCCTTTATAAGTATTTTTATTGCTTGTACAGTGCTTTTTACTTTGTGAGTGCTGTTGGTTTTGCTAATATTGGTTGAATTAAATTTGTCAGTAATTAATGAATTTTTCTAGAATGTGATAGCTTGTTTTTCATTTTAGAATAGTTTCAGTAGTAGGCATGAGGATAGAAATCAGATTGTGGGTACTACTTGTGGAAGAAGTTGAATGATGAGGTAATAAAAGCTATGAGAGGAAAGAGGAATTAATTGGAAGGTCCTTGCTAGTTGAGGGGTAGAAGTTGAAGATTTGCTTATGATAAATAGAGGCCTGGGCATGTTTTTAAAGCAGTGATGTAGGAATCAGTGAAGTTGGAGAGAATATATGTGGAACTTTGGGCCTCTTATTTTCTCCTTTTTACTCAGCTAATTTAGTTTTTATGGCACTCTGAGCAAGAACTGTTCAGGGTCCAGTATAAATGAATATGATTCATTTTTGTGAAGTGGGATTCCTGAAGTGAAGTTTAAAAAAAATTTAAGAAAAGTATCTATTAATGTTTACTATGTACGAAGCTCCATGCCAAGGTCCTGGGGATACAAACGGAAAAGTAAAAGACAGTCCCTACTCTCAAGGAGATAACATTCTAAAAAAGAGAGACAACACAAAAAAGATAACATGGTAACATACAGTGTTATGTCATCAAGGCGTGGAATGAAAAGAGGTGATGATAGATGTTTCTTGAGGTTTCTCTGTTGCTTTTGCTTTCCCAGAAAATTGATGCTGACAGTGCAGAATAAGTGTCTGATCCACCCTCTAGGTTTCCTAATTCTGGTAAAAGGAGGGTGTTTTCCTCTAACCTATGTGAAAGCATAGATCTGGTAAAATCAGGTTTTTTCCCCCTTAAATTTACAAAGCATTTGACTAGGAGTCACTACAGTCCCAAGAACTCTTGAATTATAAACAAGGTCAAACAGCTTATATGTGTATTATATAGTTACTCCAGAGTGGAGGTTCTTAACTTGGGTTCTCTGAATTAAACAATTTTTTCTTAACTATATTTCAATATAATTGGTTTCCCTTGTAGCCCATGAAATTGGACTGTATAACCTCCCTTCCAATTCAAAATTTGGCAAACTGTAAATAATAGAAGTTCCAGTTTATTGTATAATCTTTCTTCTTGTTATTCTTTTTATATTGAAATATTTGTGTTTGCTAATGATTAAGGTTTTTTTTTTTTAAATTTTTCCCCTTTGTAAGGCAATTGGGGTTAAATGACTTGCCCAGGGTCACACAGCTATTAAGTGTCAAGTGTCTGGTCTGAGACCAGATTTGAACTCAGGTCCTCCTGACTCCAGGGCTGGTGCTCTATACACTGCACCAGCTAGCTGCCCCACTAGTGATTAAGTTCTTGAAAAAATGTTAAAAGTAAAAAAATCCTTTGCTTTTTTAAGAAACTTCATTGCTTTGAAGAACAATATCTTTAATGCAATAGGTGCTAAATAGAAATGTTTGAAGAGAATAGACTTTAAAAGGTATATTTAATGTTGGTAACTTAATTTTATCATGAGACTGATTTAGTACTTTATGGTTTCACAGAATTATTCAAGTCTTATATTAATGTGTAAAGTAAATTTTCCTTGAAATCTATTTTGGTTTGAAATTATTTCTGGAGTATGTGTATGTGTGTTATACATTAAAACACCAATATTATACTTTGTGCTTCAGATGATTGCAAAGGGGAAAAATGCATCAGAACTCTTTCCTGCTGTTGTGAAGAATGTGGCCAGTAAAAATATTGAGGTATGTTGTGGTACATTATTTCTGTGATTTCTTTTGTTATTAAAGGGTTTTTAGTTATTTTGAAATATTTAAAAAATTCTTAGGTAAAATATCATAGACTTAATGGTAGTTTAATTTCTCTGAAAAAATTCTCATATAAAGAAAATAAAATAAAGATGTTATGTTTTATTTGGTTTGAGGTTATTGCAGAAGGTGAAATCTGATACTGAGAACAATTTACCTGGAAGAAGATTAAAATCATGCTATCTTATTTTCCTGTTTCCAGATTCATATTTAATTCTGGCTCAGGTTTGAGGGGATAGTATAGGCCCAATGAGATGGGCCTGACAAGAAATATTTTTGGAAAGGTAGGACAATTTTAGGTTGAACCATAGGGTGGATTAGAGCCTTTGGAGGAATTTGGTATGAGGATAGAACCCTAATTCTGCCTCTGTATGTGAATCATTGACATTGCTCAGCATCATTCAGAAACCAAATTTATGAGTATCCTCTGTTAGGGTGAAAGGAAGGTATTACTCATGATCTAAAAGCAGGCATTCCTCCTGACTCTGATCAGATTCTGATCCCCCCCCCCCAAAAAAAAAAATTGCTAACTGCTTTGATTGTCATAATTAAAATATTTTAGTATGTAACTTTTCAATAACAATGAATTTAACAGTACTTCAATGATAGATACTTGGGATATCCAAAAATGATTAGTATTGTTCAGGTTCAACTTTTAATAAGTAACATTTAGTCTGTTGTCTAGATACAGGGCTATGGATCCTAAAGCAAGATAAACTCTATTTCTGACCCATCTTCCCAGTTTAATGACAACTTCTTTTCACCTCTCCAAATTTAAGTACAAAATCAGAAAGAGCCACTCTGTGTTAAAAAAATAAAAGGAATCTACATTTCATGGAGAGTGGAATTTGTTGTCTCTTTGAAAAATGTACAGAAGAGAACAATCCGTGTGACTTCATGATTACTTGATGATGAAATTGAGTTACTTCCCTAAAGTACATAAGGAAGTATCTGATTTAAAATGTAATCTATGAAAAATAATCTGTGTTATAAATTTTAACAGGTTATATATAAAAGTTCGTTGAAGTGAAGATGATGTAATGACATGAAAATAAAAGGTTCTATAATAAGTATCGATGTTATATTACTTGGATGCCAGATTTATCAGAAGACCATAAACTCCACCATGTCTTACCAGGCTAGAATGGTTCCTTGTATGACGGACCATGGTAGCTTTCTGAGGACTGACCAGCCAGCAGACCTGACCACTTTCCCATGGCAATGCATGACTTCCCTCCCCCTTAAAAAAAAAATCCAAGAGGACTCTCAGTTCTCTGTGTCCCTTTCCACTTCAGAAGTGATGGTGTCCAAGTGACAGAAAAGGGGGCAGAATTATTCATGAGCACAAAGTTATTTATTACTCTGAATGTGAGAGCCTTGTTTACTGACTGAGTGGGCACATTCCTGGAGGAACTTCATCATATCACTCTTGACCTTCTCACAAAAAATAAAACCACATGACAAAAAGAAGTTCCAGCTAAATTGAAAGATACCCGAAGATTCTCCTTGGCAAGGTAAATAAAAGAAATTGGTGGAATTGGTATAATAGAATCTTAAGGCAACGAGAGTTACTATTTCATGAAACAAGTGGTCATCTTCAGTGAGTCATCAAGCATTTATTAAGTATTTGCCATGTGCTAGGTATCTTATGGGTTCAGCATACAGAGATAAAAGTGAAATAGATTTTATGCTTAAGGAATTTCAATTCCAGTGGAGGAAATAACAAAGGGGTGTGTGTGTGTGTGTGTGTGTGTGTGTGTGTGTGTGTGTGTGTGTGTGTATCCATCCATCCCTGGGAAAGTTACATAACCTTACAGCCTCAGTTTCCTCAGTTGTAAAATGGGGATAATGACACATACCTCGCAGGATTGTGAGGATCAAATGAGGTATTTGTAAAAGCGCTTAGTACAGTGCCTGGCACATATTATTCAGTTCAGTTATATCCAGTTCTTCATGACTCCATGGACTATAGCATGTCAGTGCTGTCCATAGAGTTTTCTTGGCAAAGATACTGGAGTGGTTTGCCATTTCCTTCTACAGTGGATAAAGGCAGACAAATTAAATGACTTGCCTATGGTCACTCAGCTAGTAAGTGACTTAGATCAGATTTGAACTTGGGTTTTCCTGACTCCAGGTCCAGTGCTCTAGTCACCGAGCCATGTAGCTGCCTTGCCTGGCACATAGTAAATGCTTATTATTATTTTCTCTTCCAATTTACAGACATAATGAATAGAAGATATTTTTGGGTGGGAGCGTACTGGAAACGAGGGGTAGCAGGAAGAACTTCATGGAGAAGGTGATTCCTGAGCTGAGTTTTGAAGGAAACCAGAAATTTCAAGAGGCAGAGATAGAGAGAATATTGCAGGCATGGGAAGCAGTTGGTGCAAAGACACAGAGAAGGGAGATAAGGGTGTTATGGGAAGAACAGCAAGAAGGCCAGTTTGCAGAAGGTGGGAGACACAGCCCCACTACTTGGGAGCATGACAGTGAAGCTGTTGTTTGTTAGGGGCAAATTTCTTGTCTTTAAATGGAGAAGGGAGCCAGTTTCCCATTTGGGGGAAGGTTGAGAACCATGCAGGTTAGGTAGGTGCTGTGATTGGCATAAAGAGTACAAGTGGGCAGAAATAATTGCTTTTTTTAGTTGGAGAAATAATCTGCTTTGTGCCCACTGCAATATGGTATCATGGTTTCCATGTCTAGATTGGCAGTAGACTCATTCCCCAAGCTCTGCTTTTCTCATAAGGGCCTCAGCCTGGTTCTCTGTTTTAGCCAAAAGCATTTGATGTCCCTGATAGGTGCTAACAAACTCTACAACCAATCATATTTGGGGGAGGCATTCATTATTTGGTCCTGACCTCAAAGGAGAGAACTACTAGGTCAGTGGGGGATTGCTCTTTGTGCCACTGTGGCTTCTTCTGAGATGGTCATAGGGTGCAAGGCTTCTACATCTGACCATTTAATCTTACCTGATATTCTACTTCTTCTGAATTCTAGGAAGAATTTGATAAGACCTTCCCTCCAATTTAAATTTCCACATATCTTAATACTTGGTGACTTCAGAATAAAGGAGAAGTTGACTCATTTGCTTTTCCAGTCAAATAGTTCTCTAAAATGTGTCCTTCATACCACTTCTCTTGCATAATTCTCTATTGGTAATATGTTGCATCTTGATCATGCCTACTATTATTCTTCAGATCCTGTGACATTCTATGACCTTGAAAAATACATTTTGATGGAAAAAGGATTCCTTATAGATGATGAAGTCCTTCAAATGTCCTCTTTGTGGATGTCATTGTACCGATTGTAACAAACTCTTGAATATTAGATCTTTGATCACTCAAAAAAAACCTTGGCCTAACTGTTCACACAGGAAAAGTGTTACAAGTCCATCTTTTTACCTATATAGCTATCTGATCTATTGTATACATACATGTGTTATATACATATATACACAAACATATATACATATACATATGACAGTCACTTAGGTGGCCCCAGAGTTAAATAAGATGAGGTGAGTAGGTTATATTGCCCATGGGAAATTGTGTAGTGCTTTTAATGACTTCAGATTTCTCCTTGAAACAAAAGCATATCTTTTTAGCATTAAATTTCTTTTGTTTATGCTATGTTACTGTGAGCCATGGAATTCCACAGTCCTTGGAAAATGAAAGCTTATTGTTACCCAAAAGGCAGTGGAGAGGTGCAAAATTGCATGTAGGTAGACTGCATCATATTTCCAGCATACCGTACCTTGTCCTTGATTGGGAATGGGTTGAAATGATTGTTGTGGAAAGACAAAAGGTATCAGTAAAATGTGTTAAAATTAAAAAGAAAAATTTAACTATCCCCTTTCCCCCAAAAATTATCAACAAAGAAGGGCAGGGGACATGAAGTGAAGGACATTTTATTTAAGAGAACTTTGACTGTAACAGGACTTGGACTGATCTTGCAGCAAGAGAAAGAGATAACCAGTGAATAGGCTTTATGTTCTATTGTTATCCACATAGTAAATCAATAGAGGAAGACCCTCAGCATTTTGGTTGGATAGCACCTAGAGGGTTTATGGGAAGACATGGATAGAGTTGGACTGAATGATAAGGGAAGCCCTGTATAATGGTGGAATGTGTCATGGATTTTGGAGTCAGGGGACCCAAGTTCAAATCCCAGGTCTGCTATGTAATATATTTAAAACCCCTCTTGGGCTCAGTTTTTTCATCTTTAAAATTAGGGGGTTGGACTAGATATCCTCTAAAGCCCTTTTAGTTCTCCTTCTATAATGAATGTGTAGATGGATTGTGATCTTATCAACCCATGTTAATGAAATTTCAGATCCATTTAAGTATTTATGTATATTATATATGTATGTATGTAATATGGTACCATATAATATATGTTATATATATAATGTATGTTTAGTATATATGTACACACATCATACTGTATATGAAGATATACAGAAGCATATCCATATGTATACAGATACACAGGCATTCTTTCCTACCTTCCTATCCTAGCTTATTGTTACCTTCCTCTTTACTTCTTTGTTCATAAATCACCAAAAGGGATATGGGAAATGTAGGATGTCAGAGTTCGATGTATACAGCAGTGTTGTAGAGTGCATTGTCTTTGTAGAAAAAGATGCTGTTTTAGAATCACATAATTTTTTTTCTCAAGGCTTTTAAAAACACAATGCTGTTAGATTTTCAAAAATGGCAATCACTTGAAACTATGTCTCCTAATTCCCATATAGAGTTTTTCTCCTAATCATCTGTTATATATTTGGAGATTCATTCATTTCTTTCTCTCCTTCCTTTTTTCACTCTATACCCACAGCCCCTGGAGTCAAAAGAAAATCTCAATAGTTAAATATATGGATATGAACAAAATATTGCTAGAAAATTTTATGGCCAGTGTTTAAGTAATTTCCATTTTTTAAA